CCTGGTGGGACATCATCGAGCGGAGAGGTCCAGAGTTTCACCTTAACGCAGCCAAATCGGTTCTTCTTGTTAAGCCCGAATGCGCTGAAGCTGCACGGGCAATCTTCGCCGACACCGATATCGTCATCAAGACGAACGGCAACCGACACCTTGGAGCCGCCCTTGGATCACCCGAGTATAGGGCCTCCTTTGCTTTGGCGAAGGTGAAGGCATGGCAAGAGGAGATCCGGGAGTTATCCACCATGGCCTCCACCCAGCCACAAGCAGCTTACGCAGTGTACACCAACGTTCTCCGGCACAAGTGGTCATTCATCGCCCGCACAATGCCAGGAGTTGCCCCGCACCTCGAACAGCTGGAGTCCACCATCTCCCAGTCGTTTATTCCCGCTCTTCTTGGTCGTCCCCAGCCCGGAGAGACGGAACGCCAAGTTCTCGCGCTCCCAAGCCGCTACGGAGGCATGGGGATTGTCTCCCCAGTATCTCTTGTGAACCAGTTTCCTTCCTCACTTACGATCACCGAGAGCTTAGTTCAGCGCATTTTGAACCAGGATACACCGCCACAGGAGGAGGCGGACAACACCAGGGCAGCCAAAGCTAAAGCCAGGGCAGACGCCAGAAAGAAGGAGCAGCGTCACGCCAAGGAGGTGTACGATGGCGTGGATGGAGACCTGCAGAGGTCCATGGATCTTGCGGCCGAAAAGGGTGCGTCGAACTGGCTCACCTGTCGACCACTCAAGCAGCATGGGTTCTCGCTACACAAGGGCGCGTTTCGAGATGCTGTCTGCCTCCGCTACGGGTGGACCCCGCCCCATCTCCCCCAGAGCTGTGCCTGTGGAGCTGCCTTCACTGTCCCGCACGCCTTGTCTTGCCCAGTAGGTGGCTATCCGTCTCTGCGGCACAACGAGCTGCGGGACTTGACCGCTACCATGCTCACATCAGCAGCTCATGATATCAGCATTGAGCCACGCCTTCAGCCGTTATCTGGTGAGAATTTTCATCACCGGACGGCTATCCGTGAGGATGGTGCCAGGCTGGATGTTGCTGCCAGCGGGGTATGGGGTGGCCGGTTTGAGCGAGCTTTCTTTGATATTCGGGTGTTCAACCCTCATGCTCGTTCGAACTCGGTCCACTCCATCCCCGCCGCATACGCAAAGCATGAGCGTGAGAAGCGTCGGCATTATGAGGAGCGTGTTCGTGAGGTGGAGCATGCCACCTTCGTTCCCCTCGTATTCAGTGCCACCGGAGGCCAAGGCAAGGCGGCAACTGCCCTTTACAAGCGGCTCGGACTGATCATCAGCGACAAGAAGAATGAGCCTTACTCCATCACAATGGCATGGATCAGATGCAGGTTGGGGTTCGCCCTTCTTCGCTCGGCCATTATGGCCCTCCGAGGACACCGGTCCCGGAGCAGAGTTGCAGTAGCTCAACCATCATCGACCGAACTGGTGGCGGCTGAGTGCAATTTGCATTTCTGAACTGTGGCATGTGCGTAGCACTCAAACCGGTGAACATGTGCGCACTGCACTGACTGTCTTTAATGCTCCTCATTGTTTTTGTTTTTATTTATTTATTTTTTACCAGGCGTGGGCCATCCCCTGATGTCATAGGTGCCAACTGTTTAAAAAAATAATAATAATAAAAAAATAAAAAAACAAAAAAACAATGTATGCGTGAGAGTACTATTGTGAGAGTACTGTTGTGAGAGTACTGTTGTGAAAGTTCTGTTGTGAGAGTACTGTTGTGAGAGTACTGTTGTGAGAGTACTGTTGTGAGAGTACTATTGTGAGAGTACTATTGTGAGAGTACTGTTGTGAGAGTACTGTTGTGAGAGTGCTGTTGTGAGAGTGCTGTTGTGAGAGTGCTGTTGTGAGAGTACTGTTGTGAGAGTACTGTTGTGAGAGTACTGTTGTGAGAGTACTGTTGTGAGAGTGCTGTTGTGAGAGTACTGTTGTGAGAGTACTGTTGTGAGAGTACTATTGTGAGAGTACTGTTGTGAGAGTACTATTGTGAGAGTACTATTGTGAGAGTACTATTGTGAGAGTACTGTTGTGAGAGTACTGTTGTGAGAGTACTATTGTGAGAGTACTATTGTGAGAGTGCTGTTGTGAGAGTACTGTTGTGAGAGTACTGTTGTGAGAGTACTATTGTGAGAGTATTGTTGTGAGAGTACTATTGTGAGAGTACTGTTGTGAGAGTACTGTTGTGAGAGTATTGTTGTGAGAGTACTATTGTGAGAGTACTGTTGTGAGAGTACTGTTGTGAGAGTACTATTGTGAGAGTACTGTTGTGAGAGTTCTGTTGTGAGAGTACTATTGTGAGAGTACTGGTGTGAGAGTGCTGTATTCCTCTCTTTCTGTGGCTCTCCTACCTTTTTCCCTCCGTTTTTCAGTTCTAATTCTATTATAATACCTTTTCACTGATGCAGTGATGGTCCTTTATCACTGTCTTTTTCTCGCACAAAAATGCCGCTGCTATTCCACAAAAAATGTACCGTAAAGTTAAAAAATTCAGTAATGGGTCCATTATGGGAGCTGACTTTATTTTCGGAGAAACACTACTGGAATATCATCGTAGTTAAAGTACTAATGAATGGCGATAGCATCTAGGAAGGATCGCTACTCTAACGTGAAGGAAAAGCCTTGCCGTGGCTGCTCTACGAAGTGTTGAAGAAAGACGCATACGGTTGCAGGACGAACAACTCGCTGTTACATGGTGCCGGAAACACAGCACTGCAGGTCAGCACTCTCTACGTAGCTACAGTCAACTTCGCATATAACGACACTCGGCGGGGCATCAGAAAAGTGTCGTTATTCGCGAAGTGTCGTTATATCCGAAGTCTCATTATATGTGTCACAGTTGGATGGGACTTTGCTCCGGGCATGAAAATTATGTCGTTATTCGCGAATTGTCGTTATATCCGCAGTCGTTATTAGCGAAGTTGACTGTACTCGTACATGTACAGGACACTGATAAGGTACGTGTACTGTCAGTAGCGTGTAGATTTTTTTAATGTTTATTTGAATTCGGATAGCTCAACAGTACAGAAGTACAACTACAGAGAGTACCGAATAGAAGGCCCCGAGAACGGGAAGCCAAAAAACAAAAAAACAAAAACAGCAACATCAATTTACTGATTATGCACATTGCTTGAAAGCAAATCACAACAATGAGTCAATGATTAAGAGTTAAGCAGTCTTTTAGCCAAATAGCCAATTTGACGCGGAAATCTGCGATAGTAAAATCCCGCCAGAGCCCGTCTCTCCCATCCGCCCCTCCCTGACTTCTTGTCAGGGACGTGATTAGGGAGGTTCCGGAGTACGATTTTTCGTGCCAAAATCCGTGGAGGCTCTACGGATTTTTTATACGTCGTTTTCGAGCAGTGAAAAGTTCCGGGGTACGGAACTTATGTGTTTGCCGTCATTGCCTAGGTTACGATCGCAAACACGTCACATTCCCGCGCTATGCCTTTTTATTTTGAAAATTTGTACCGAAATCAAAACTTCCCGCGAAAAATCGATGTTTCTCGTACCAAATTTGTACGCGAAAAATCTTTCTGCACCCGATGACGCAAAATCTCCATACGAAGCATGGTTCGTATGAAAGCCAGTCCACACGGATTCTCGTGCCGAAAAATCGTATGGAGCACGCCTGGAAAAAATCCGTAGCGCCCATACGGATTTTGGCACGGAAAATCGTACCCCGGAACCTCTCTAGTGATTGTATCCTCGTACGTGTGGTATGACTTTAGGGTTTTACGTCGGGCCCTAGACGACGGCTACTTTGGCCAACCGGACAACGAAGAAGTTGTGACCAAAGAGAATGATTTTATTTCTTGCGCATCCGTATGTAGAATGACGTAATACTCAGTGAGTCAGGTCGCTACAGTACTCCCCCGCCAGTGGTGAGGTCGGGAGGAGCGAAGCACGATAAACAAGAAACAAGAAAGAGAAAGGAAAGCGCAGCATGTACAAGGCGGAAAGGCAAAAATATAATAATATGATACATATGTACAGGCGAGAGTGCTGCGTGTATGAAATTTGTTTGTGACGTGGCAACGAAGGCCGAAACAAAATCAAAAACAGTGCAGAAAGCGGAAATGAGAGATGCATGACAGATGCGGGTTAACATGTCAGAGGTGTGTTAACGTGACAGAGGTGGAGAGCATGTCAGAGGCAGAAAGAAAGAAAAGAGGAAATGTATGCGTGACAGAGGAGTGTTATCGTGTCAGAGGCAGAAAGAAAGGAAATGTACGCGTGACAGAGGAGTATGATCATGTCAGAGGCGGCTGCATGTTGCAGGCTTGGCGGGATACCAGCAGGAGCGCTGCACTGATGCGAGGCATGCCGAGTGAGGCGGGGACAGATGGAGGCGAGCGCAGCTCCATGGGGTCCGGTGCCGGGCGTGTGCCTGCGTGCGTGCACAGTGAGTGAGCTGGTACGACGGGTGGAGGTGGCCAATTTCCAGCTTGAGGCCAGGACGAAGACGACTGGACGATGTGCCGTGGCAGGATAGCGGGGTATCCAGGTGGGCCGGGAGGGTGGCAGGGGCCACAGCAGCTCCGAGGCGGATCCAGTGACGAGTGGTGGTGAGGCTCAAGTTTTACGTCAACAGCCGGCGATTGACGGGTTCCCGAGAGTTGAGGCGAGCAGGAAACTGCGGCGGGCCGAGCTCGGGGATGGCATGCTCAAAACTCCGAAGAGCGCAGCGTCAGGGGTCACCAATTATGGGTTTTACGTCGGGCCCTAGACGACGGCTACTTTGGCCAACCGGACAACGAAGAAGTTGTGACCAAAGAGAATGATTTTATTTCTTGCGCATGCGTATGTAGAATGACGTAATACTCAGTGAGTCAGGTCGCTACATGACTCTGTCGCAGTCTGTGATGCCGTACTGTACTGCAGACGCGTGCTCAACCCCGTTGGAAATAGTGCCCACCCTCTTGACCAGGGAACGCACAAACCCTGCAGTCCTTCCCCAGACGCGCAAAAAAAAGACCTCTTCCACTAATCCCGATATAACAGATTCTTGACTGATTTTTGCCGCGAAAGCGAAAAAATGTTCTCAAATTTGAGAACTGTCCTAAATTGGTTCTGAGAGATGGAAGCCGTTTTACATGGCCTACGTCGTTTTACTTTGCACCACCTCGTTTTATTTCACACCATGTATTCTTGACGGGACGCTCTTTCGGCAGATATATTTTTAGTGAAGTTTCGTAGAGGAGACGTATATCGAAAATGTTGTGAACGAAGCTGAAATTGGCATTTTTATGCACCTAATTTCAAGCCGAATTATCACCAGAGCATGCAGCGTTTTCGGCCAGCACGAAGGCGGCAACATATAGAGGTAAGCAATACCTATCACTTACAAGACAAATCTGATCTGTTCACGAGCTCCAAATACCTAAAATTCAGAACTTGCTGTGCTTGCTTGGCCCTATCTACATGTATGTTAAATAGAGTATCACACACATTTGGCAAGTACAATGCACAACATTATAATACCGTCTTCTAAGCTGTAGTCTTCACTGGTTTACAGTTTTGGATATGTAGAGTAAAGCCTCATTCACACTTCGCTTTGCGTAAGGGAAACACGTCACAATGGCCGTTTGCGGCGAGAAAGTTGACTTGATCTTGAGTTGAGTTACTTTTTTGGTCCATCGCGCGACCTTCGCCTGTGCGCATTGCGTTCATGAAATGAAGTATGAATCAGTCTTGAATGTGCCAGTCCATTGCTCAGTTTTACCATGTTCTTGCTTAAGTCTGTTGTGATTTATCTTGAATCCGTAGACATTTCGCCGTATTGGTACCATCCGCTCCATAAAAAATGCTGGTTCTTGTAATGGCATGCACCATAAAATGACATCTGTTCTATAACCGTAATCATCTGCCCGCCATATCTTCTACATTTAGTGAGATGTTGCCTAGCGCTGCTGCACTGTATGCATGCAGTTGTAGTTCCCACCGCCTTGATGCTGGCGGCGTATTCAACATGCCATGTATGCATTGTATGCACGCCTATGGATTCGTCCTTTTCTCGTATAAGTGTACACTCAAGATTGTTCTGTCTAATTGAGTGATCTAGACTTGTTCTCACTTTGCCTTTGGCCACCAATATTCTTATATGCGAATCGTTCATCAGAGTATAACTTCATTTTCAGGCTCTCTGGTGTGTACATTCTTTCTTGCTGTCCAGGGTTGCTGCACTGTATAATTGTAATCATCGCTGACTGGCTGTTGGCAGAGTATTTGATGCGTGCACGTGTATGGATCCGTTCCTTCCTCATGTAAGTGCGCCAGCATTTGTGATATGAAGTTGAGTGATATAGAACTCGTCTCAAATATAACACCATTTGCCAATCAGCGGCCGTTCTAAGCGGGATATATTCAGCGATATATCCCGCTCAGTTCACATGGGTCACTTCGAGAATAAGGAAACTTTAAGCCTAGTTCACATTCGACGTAACGCTGACGGTATGGGACGTAAGGGCCTGTTGGGACGGCCGGGGTGAGCTGTAAAATCTTGTACGATTCGTAAGACACAACATGTAGTATGACACGACATGTGGCAGCTATTGCAATTTTCAAGAAGTGACACGAAATCTCATCTTCCTAAAATTTGAATCAGTTGTGCTAGCCATTCGGCGAGTTATCATGGGAAGCGTAGTGTTGACCGTGTTTGAAATGTTAAAAAACCTAAGTGTGCTGTTGTGCGTATCGGGAGGGGTCAGCGCACGACACATCCCCTGTTCACACTCGAATGCAGTTGTTTTGTACGCTTGCGTCCCCGTCTACGGTCTGAAAAGTTCAACTGATCCAACTCTTCCCCTCGCTTCCCAATCTGTAGGGTAGAACGCTTGCGTTCCTGTTCCTGGTGTTCACATTGGACGCTGTCTGTCGGCGTCATAACCGTTCCGTCGGTTCCCGTCAATCCTTACGTCGCGTCCCGTTGCGCCCCTTCGAATGTGAGCTAAGCTTTCGTGTTGGTCACGCTCTGTATTTAGGAAAGTACCATGCAAATGGATTATACCATTCGCACTCTGTGTATACCGAATCCCCCAATTGTCCCTCGTCCTAACACACTCTCGAAAATATTCGCCGTATACCCCTCATACTCATGGTATAATCCGTACCTAATATATAATCAGTATCATCTGCTGTTTATTTTCCATTGCAGGTTAACGTCTCAATCAAGCATCGTCATCAAAACTTTGCGTAGAAGAGTGTTGTCAGCGGTGTCGGTCATCCTCTGGGATCCTCTTTCTGTTATTACTGAAGCTCAATTCCCAATACATGAACTGCTTTCCACAATGCGCAACATGCAACACCTGCGATGAGCTGCAATCGCGACAGACGATTCACAATCTGTTTTGTGTCTGCGGCATCTAAGTGCAGTGCGTAGTACCCTCACGTGCACCCAGCCTAGTGAACTGCACTCCATTTGTGTACAACGCGCTTGGCAAGAGTTATGCTTTTGCCAACTTCTGGGACAGTGGCCCTACAACTGCTTGCGACAGTGCGCGACAGGCATTTCCTCGCCGCAAGTGTTACATCGCAGAAAGTGATACATGTAATTGTGAATTGTAAATACTTTTAATCCAATTCAACTTTTAGTATGTGCTTCTCTTTGTTGAACAGCAATGGGTAACCAACTCTTCTCCTGTCCATTCATTCTCCTGCTCGTGTTTGTATGGTGGTTGTATACTGTATACCCATTGAATGATAAATGTACTACAGTATCAGGTTTTGTGTGGTGATATATTCACGTCCAAATATGTTCAATTTTCACTTGAGCACACAAGGGTTAGAAGCTTAGAAACACTATACATATATTCTTTAGGGTGTTCTCCATTGATATATAGACCCTTTGCGCAATAAGCGAGAGGGGTCGAGACGGGGCATGCTGTGCGCGCGCTCCACACTTGGCATGCAACCAGCATGCATGGTTTGCTGCAGGACGTGATCAAGTTTCCTGTGACAGGCTAGGTTTTCACGGTCCCGACGCGATGTTCATGTATGTACTCCCCAGCCTTTTTTCATTTGAAGTTTTTTTAGTTCTGAAGGAAGAAGTTCCGAAATGCTTTCCAAGGACTGCTGTTGGGTTCTTGTTTGCAGCAACCGTCATCCCTTGTCTAAGAAACCCACTTGTTTTTCCAGGCGTTCCCTAGTGATGCTGGCATTCCACTCTCTTGAATCCTGGCTATCTGGCGAGAAGGGCAGCAGTTCGCTGCGACATCGTTCACAGTCACGGTTTTGCTCGGAACACTTTGTCGATGACGACAGTCACTTTCATCGTTTTGCGAAGACGCGGAACGTCCTGCCAAGAGACTCTGGAGCTTGAGAGAAAGGCATGACCCATCCCTGTCTTCGCTATTCAAGGAAGATCGACTGCTTGCTGGCGCTGCTCGAGCTGCTGATGTTGAAGTGCAGAGAGACGCAGCCTCATCGCTCAGGCGTGCGGAGAAGGCCATCTGAGTTCGAGCTGTGGCTGTGTGCACGATATGACAGACTTTCACGTTATGCACATAGCCACCAAAGTAAAACTCATGGACACTATCCACGGGCTTCTTCACTAGTACTACTCCATCAGCTCCCTCTTCACTGTCGTCGGCGACTTGCCCCTGCGTTGGAGATGAACAAGCCTGGTGTGGCACTCACTCTGGGAAACAGAGGTTCATCACTCATCGAGTCATCCACTGGGACGCATGAAATGTTGGGCACGACGACTGTACACTCGAGGAAGTGGTGCCCTTCTTAGTTCTAGGAGCATCAGGGTTCTGCATAGAGAAGTGTTCTCTACATCGACAGAGGAGAGAAGGTAGAGAAAATAAAAATAAATTTCAATCTACAGTAATCCGAAATATCCACTGACTGCGGAAAACTTACCGCTCCAACAACTCCTTCTTTTTCCAGACAGATACGCACCCTCATTCAGCAGAAAACTGTTCAGTTCCTTCACAGGCCAATCTTCATTTGACAGTTCGTCCACGGGTGCCACAGCCATCGATGGCAAACCACTCGACACTCTCTCCTCCATCTCCAAAATGGAAAAATACAGTGTTTCACCATGCTCAACAACGGATACTCTGCACAAAAATCGAAGAGGATGCCCCGTCTCGGATCACGTGACCGTTATTGTGCAAAGGGTCTATTGAAAGATCTCACCTGTTCAAGACGTCCATGTCGACTTTGAGGCCGACTTTCGTATCGATGTCGGCTATTTTCTAGCACTTAGAAAAATGATCCCTACCACCCGGGACGCATTCTATCGCGTTGTTTGCATTCTCCTGGCGGCAGGGCATTGCCAAACTGATAACCTTTCATATGAAATAATTCAAGGGATGTGGAAGAAGCCTTCACTGCTCGACCAGGCCGATAACCCTATTTCATACATACCCCAAAACTAGACAAATTCGAAATTTCTCAAGCTTGAGAACGTTTCCCGGCAAAAAAACCCTCGAAATCTGTTATATCGGGATTGGTCGTTTGGGAAAGGACTGCTGCGTTTTGATGGGTCTGTACGACTCCTGGCTCTTGACCTTTGGTCGGTGTACGAGATGCACGAACAGTTTTCGTAGGGTGAGTACTTTTTCATGTAGCACTGAATGCGGCAAGTAGGACTCGCCCATCCGCCCCTCCCCACCTGAAGCGTCGAGGAGGTAGGGGCGCTCTGGCGGGATTTTACGGTAGTGCAGGACTTCAGGTCGTCTGGTAAATAATTCGAAACAAGAGCCGATTTACTTGAAAAGGACAGAAAGCCAGACATAGATCTATAGCGATTGATACTCATGTTATGAGTTGTTGAGCCGCGAATAGTTCGGGTAGACCGGTACAGATGGGAAAGAGGGACTGAAAGCAAACAGCCGGCTTAATACAGTAACAGTAGAAAATGAATACAAGGAACAAAAATACTGATCGATATTGGAAAGAGGAAACATTGAGGTGGTGAAGAAGTGGCGTGATATTAGCTTGGGGTGATGCGCCACAAGCAACTCAAACAGCGCGCCGGTGGAGTGAGGCTAGCTTGTTTCTATTTTTAGCGGATATAAACGAAAGGTATACAGGGAGAGCATATTCTAGATCAGGCTGAATAACACCGACAACGAAAGTATGGCGGGCAAACAGGTTCATCTGGCGGAAAGATCGGCGCAGTACACCGATCTTCCGCGAGGCTTTCCGGACGACATTGTTAATGTGTTGGTCAAAGGACAGCTTATTGTCAACAACGACTCCTAGGCATCTGGTGCTTTCCACTTCCCCTAGCGTAACATTTGACAAGGTGATTTGCAGTTGTTGCCTTTGTTGTTGTTGCTGACTCCCTGTGGCACGTTTGGGATGGATTTGCATGACAACGGTTTTGTCGGTATTTATCTGCATGCCAAGGGAGCCAAGGTGGTTGTTTAGTATCTCCAGTGCCGATGACAACTTGGCTTCGGAACGCGCCTTCGACGGATCACTAGAGTAGACTGTCTTGTCATCTGCGAACATCAGTAATTTTGAACCCGCTGTCTCCGCAAGCCGGGGAAGGTCCCTCAGGTAGACATTAAAAAGGGTAGGGCCTAAAATACTTCCCTGAGGAACTCCTCGAGACACTGCAAGACCTGAAGACTGGCTGGCTTGCGTGACGACACGCTGAGATCTCCCGGCGAGGTACGACGCAAACCAACGCAGGGCGCTTGCATGAACACCCATGCCATGGCATGGAGCCCAACGATCTACCATGGTTTACAGCTACAGAAGTCGTGCACTGCCGACTACCGTACTTATAGTTCTAATTAATAAACACAAAGTCATTTTTATCACTCCCTTACTGGTCTTAGTATAGTATTGACTCCCATAGATTTTTTGCCATACCTAAGCAGTCAAATGTTCCTGCATATTTCACTCCTTAGGGCTATAATATTGACCGCTTACATTTTGACTCCTTTTTAGCGAATGAACACAGGCTTTATTATTATTATTATTATTATTATAGACAACACCTCATGGCATGAGAAGAAAATCAGCCAGTACGGGGGATGTGGGTGTTAACCAACCATGGTGAATAAAAGAAGAAAAGTAATGGTCAAGACGGAGAAGCATGGGAGGGACAGGTGATGGTGAATCTAGTGAGCAGATTTAAATGCGTCCAGGGTACTGGCATTGCGCGTAGTAGCGGGCAGCGCAAGCCAAGCAGCTAGTCGTGATAAATCTAATATTGACTTCGTACTTGGGTACTTGGTCAGTATAGGAAATAAAAGACCTCGGCTTCGCCTCGGTCTTTTACTCGGCTTTTATTTCCTATATTGACCTCGTACTCAGTCATTATTACAATATTAGAGTCATGACTGTTACTTATTTATGTTAGTGTGTATCGACTGTGTTGCCTGTTATCATGGTTATGAATATGATTGTGGAGTGCAGTGAGTGGTGTTGCCGTGTGGAATCATGGTGTTGGCGTGATGTCTGATGATGACAGTGATGTTTGCTATGACTACATCATAGTACAGTGACGTGTAGTAGTATGCATATGGCGTATGGTACCGGGTATGACTGCATGGTATGAGTATGAAGCATTGAAGGTGACTGGGTGATGACAGATACAAGTACAGTCTACAGACAGTCAGTGATGAGTGTGACTGTGTACTGTGTACAGTGTGAGGAGTCGAGTGTGTAGCATGCAGCTTGCACGTATGCTAGCATGCTGCACGAGTAGTATCGAGTGGCTTGTGGCTCAATGTAGCTGAACCATCGGACCTTATTTGTCAGCTTGGATCACGTGATCCATCCAGCTGCCGCGTGCGGCAAACAGCCCAAATAGCGCTAACTCTGGCCTGCGAGCGTTTGCTGCGACTAGCGCGCTAGCGCTCGTGACATACACAAACGCGCTAGCCAGAATGCTTTGACTTTGATGGCTTTCAGCTTCTATTTTTTGAAAAGTAGCGCGCTCAGACCAGCTCGCTCACTCTTTTTCTCTTCCATTTTTTAGGGCAATTGTTTTGTTTGATAGACGAAGCTTAGGGTCTCTTTGGGTTTGCAACCCTTACCCTCCTGGAAAAAATCATAGTTGCTAGACTGCGACACTTCAGACCAGGTACTATTAGAGCCGCTAATGGACGACGAGCTATTTTCCGCTATCCGGAGCTCAAGCATTTGAGCCGCTAAATGGACGAGACTCCTGCGGCAAAGGATGCAGAGAATGAGGAGAAAACACTCGTATGGAGCAGGGAGTAGGTATTGTACTACTTC